TGGTATGTCTGTCTGTGTGTCTGTCTGTGTGTCTGTGTGTCTGTGTGTCTGTCTGTCTGTCTGTCTGTCTGTCTGTCTATGTGTCTGTCTGTCTGTCTGTCTGTCTGTCTGTCTGTCTGTCTGTCTGTCTGTCTGTCTGTCTGTTTTCTCTCATCGGTCTCTCTCTTTCTCTCCCTCTCCATGGTATGCTTTCAATCATATACGGTCGCTTTTAAGGACAAGCGGGTTAACCCAGATATCGGGGGTTTCCAGAAGTTTTGACCCATCAAAATTGGGCATGGCCCTACCTATAGGAGAAGTTTGGTTTCATTGGTGTGTATATTTGTTTGGTTATAGAGAAAACTCTCCTTTTCTTTTAAAGAAACTGAACAAGGGTTAAAAACTTTACCTTCAATTTTCTCTGAACCGCATTTTCCGGGATAGCCCCCTTGTGCTTAAAAGCGACCGTATATATACAGTCAATCACCTTGACGTCACCTTACGATTAATTCTATACAAGTCCTCGCAAGTAGTTTACAATCTCATTACTCGCTACTTCGGAATTACAAAGTTCTGTCTGACATGAGGTCAGAAATAAAATATTCTTCCCACTCTATCAAAATCGTAAGATTATTTGGAGTCGTTATAATCGAGATATTAAAAGAATTGCATTTGAAAAAGCTTGTAATTTTGTTAAACTCAATTTTTTTGCGTCAAATTTCTCAAAACTAGGTACTGAGCAGATAGAATTTGGTAATTCTGAGGTAGCGAAATATCACCTTAGAATCATCCTATAATCATCTATAATCATCTATTATAAATCTATGATCATCTTACAATTATTACGGTCATTTTCTATCAGTTTGGAATCCTTTAACCATGTCTTTAAAATATTCTAAAAATCACTTTCAGTATTCTCCTAATCCTTAACAATCGTCTTATTTTCTGCATGCAACTGTCTTACAATCACATACAATCACCTTACAATCTTGTTACAATCATTGCACTCCCCGCCAGGCGCCAATGTACTACAGAAAGGCGAACGCAGCCATGTTGGTCTATGACATCACTTCCTTAGAGAGTTTCTACGACATCAAGGATTGGGTCAAAGGTATCTTCTGGTCTTCCTGTGGGGTGGAGGGGTGGTGTTTGTGTGTTTGTTTATATATATATATATATATATATATATATGTGATATATGTGTGTGTGTGTGTGTATGTGAGTGAGTGTGTGTGTGTATGTATATGAGTGAGTGTGTGTGTGTATGTGTTTGTGCATATCTGTGTTTGGTTGTGTGTCTGTGTGTGCTTATTAGGATGTTTGTGTGTGTGATTTTAACACCTTGGTTGCTTGGAGGGTGTCACTGGTCTGGTAGGTCCTTGTTCTTTTCTGTCCGTCTGTTCTTTCTGTCCGTATGGGTGGTTGAAGGGTCGTGCTTCTCTTTCATTCTAACTAAAAGTGATGAAATGTATCTTTCTTCAGTGTTTCTCTCTCTCTCTCTCTCTCTCTCTCTGTCTGTCTCTCTCTCTCTCTCCACTTCCTCTCTCTCTCCACTTCCTCTCTCTCTCTCTCCACTTCACCCCCACCCTGTCTATTTCACCCCCCACACCCACACTCTCACACACATACACACACACACACACACACACACACACACACACATACGCACATACACACACACACACAAACCTCGCCATTTCTTTTTCTCGTCAGAATGAAAATTTTCGTTCACTAACATGTACTTCTGATTTTGTTTGTTTGATTTTTTTTTCCTCAGAGCTAAAGAAGAACGTGGACACGCCCATAGGTAAGTCATTACACACCTGTATGTGAGTCATAGCGGAGTCATTACACCTGTATGTGAGTCATAGCTGAGTCATTACACACCTGTATGTGAGTCATTACACACCTGTATGTGAGTCATTACACACCTGTATGTGAGTCATAGCAGAGTCATTACACCTGTATGTGAGTCATAGCTAGTCATTACATGCTCAAAGGTAAGTCATTACACACCTGTATGTGAGTCATTACACACCTGTATGTGAGTCATAGTTGAGTCATTACACACCTGTGTGTGAGTCATAGCTGAGTCCTTACACACCTGTATGTGAGTCATAGCTAAGTCCTTACACACCCATAGGTAAGTCATTACACACCTGTATGTGAGTCATAGCTAGTCATTACATGCTCATAGGTAGTCATTACACACCTGTATGTGAGTCATAGTTGAGTCATTACACCTGTATGTGAGTCATAACTGAGTCATTACACACTCATAGGTGAATCTATACACACTTATATTTCAGTCAAAGGTGAATCTTAACACACTTACATTTCAGTCAAAGGTGAATCTTAAAACACTCATATTTCAGTCAAAGCTGAGTCATGACACACTAGGTGACACATATTGCACGCCCATATGTGGATCGCTACACGCCTGTATTTCAGTCATAGCTGAGTCATTACACACCTGTATGTGAGTCATTACACTCTCGTAGGTGGATCGATACATGCCTATCAGTCATAGGTGATTCATTACACGCCCATAGGTAAGTTATTACACACCTAGAAGTGCGTTATTACACACCCAGACGTGGGTCAGGACACGCCCATAGTAAGTTATTACACACCCAAAAGTGAGTCAGCACACGCCCATACAGGTGAGTGATCACTTTTTAAAAAAATTTTTTTTTTTGGTAAGTGTTTTACGGGGCTTGCAGCTGCATAAGGTCATAGGTCAAATGACTGCGGGGGACACTTAAGAATTTTTTTGTTTGGTTGGAATCAATTTTGAATTTTGCCCAGAAGGCGGCCGAAACGTCTCATCCATCTCTTTTTTCCCACTCACCCCTTCACCCCCCTGCTTCTCCTTCTCCCACCTCACCCTTTCACCACCTCACCCCATTCACCCTTTCACCACATCATTACCTCATCCTTTCTTCTTTCCAACACCTCACCCATTTGCCCTCTCACCTCTTCACCCTTTCACCCCATTCACCCTTTCCCCCCTTTTATTTCTTCAACCCTTCACCTCTTCACCACTTCACCACCTCACCCCATTCACCTCTTCACCACCTCACCCTTTCTTTTTCCCAACACCCCACCCATTCACCCTTTCACCTCTCCACCACCCCACCCCTTCACCCTTTCACCTCTTTACCCTTTCACCCCATTCACCCCTTCCCCCATTTTACTTCTTCACCACTTCACCTCTTCACCACTTCGCCCTTTCACCCCTTCAGCACCTCACCCTTTCACCCCTTCACCACTTTACCCTTTCACCCCTTCACTCCTCCACCCATTCGCCGCTTCCTTCCCTCCTCACCACCTCAACCCTTTCACCACCTCACCCTGTCACCCTTTCACCTCTCCATTACCTCACCCCTTCACCCTTTCACCCTTTCACCCCATTCACCCCGTTCACCCTTTCACCTCTTCCCTCCCCCAGTCCTGTGTCTACTGGGCAACAAGTCTGACCTTGAGAGTGGGAGGAAGGTGAGCACAGAAGACGCTGCAGAGTATGCAGCCTCCATTGACGCTCTCTTCTACGAGACCTCGGCCCTCAAAAACACAGGTAACATCTGAAGTCAAAAACACAGGTAGCGTCTAAAGTCAAAAACACAGGTAACGTCTAAAGTCAAAAACACAGGTGGCATCTTAAGTCAAAAACACAGGTAACGTCTAAAGTCAAAAACACAGGTAACGTCTAAAGTCAAAAACACAGGTAATGTCTCACGTCAAAATCACAAGTAAGGTCTAATGTCGAAAACACAGGTAATGTCTATAGTAAAAAAACACAGGTAACGTCAAAAACACAGGTAATGTCTAAAGTCAAAAACAAGTTTAGAGTAGAAAAAGAACCACACCCAAGTCTTTAGTACAAATGAAACAGGTAAAATACAAAATACAAAACACAGCTGACGTTTAAGTCAAAAACACAGAAGACAACTTCTAGGTCTAGAATTTTAACGATGGATGATTATAATGACGATGATGGTGATGATAATGGTGACGATAAATGATGGCAGTGATAATGATAATGATGACGATGGTGTAGATGATGTTGATAGTGACCACGATGATGTTGATGATGATGATGATAACAATCATGAGGATGATGAAGAGGATGATAATGATGACAATAGTTTTGATAATGACTATGATGTTGATGATGATAGTGATGGTGATGATGATGATAGTGATGCTGATGATGACAGTCGCTATGACGGTGATGTAGTTGATGATGATGAGGATAATAGTGTTGATGATGAAGATGATGATGATAATAATAATGTTGATGATGATGACGATGATAATAATAATGTTGATGATGATAAAGATGATAATAATGATGATGATGATGATAATAATGTTGATGATGATGATGATGCTGATAAAACATGACCAACGTCTTGTTGCGTGCCCAGGGATCGAGGATGCCTTCCTGCAGGTGTCGAAACAGCTGATCCACCTGTACGAGACCGTGCCCAACAGTGGCATGGGCTCCCTGATCCCCTCGCAGCCAGCCTCCGACATGTTTGCCAGCGACCAGCCTCTGACGCTGCCGGACAGGAAGGAAGTGGAGAGT